GCCTTGAAGGCCTTTTTCAATGCATCAAAACAGATGTGGAAGTCAACAAATATTTTTTTGCCACCTTCAAAAGTCTCTTCACTTAGTTTAACAACACATGTAGTACTATGATTAGACCTAAGAGTTTCATCTCTATAGTCTACAATTCTACTATACTCCAGCACATGGTCACCCATTAAATCATTTAAAAAATTTTGTTCATTGCTTTCCTACAAATTGATATCCCAACATACAAACCTAATTCTTTTCTTACAAGCTGCTGAAATTTGAATATCTTGATGTTGGGTTGCTCTCTTATTCTGTCTTTGAATTTCTCAGCCAAGTACTTGGTGTTGCACAATTTGTTCTTGTTAGTAGGTTCACATGTGTGTATATTGGAATGTACTTCTTCACAACAAAGTCTTTTGTCCAAGAGTCATAGCTAGCAAACAGAGGCCAGGGACAACCATCCTTGCACTTACACTTCACCCTTGTTGGTTGATTAACATATTTTTCCACAATAATTTTTTCTTCAACTGTAAACCTAGTAAGAGCTTCTCTAAACTTGTCAACACTCTCAAATGGAAGACCAAGCTCTCACACAATAGTCTTACAGTTTGGGTCAAATATCACTTTTTTCTTAACCTTTCGTCTTCTTGTTTTGGGTTTCCTTTAATTAGCCTCTCCCCCTCTTTCATCATCATCATCATCATTTGTATCAGTTTCAAAGCAAGCAGCCTCATCAAAAGGATAATATGGCTCATCACCTCCTATTTTACCATCCAAAGGATTCTTTTGGCCTGACTCTTTCCTAGCTTTATGCTCATCATAATCCACATCTACTATTTTTTACCCAACTTAATACCTTCAGCTGCAGGAACTCTAACATTCCTCTTTTTTCTCTGCTCAGTTCTTCTTTCCTCCCGGAATGACCTATACTCCTCATGAATATCACTACCGTAATCCTCATCTCCTTCTTCAAATAACTATACATGATCTGAATCTGAGCTATTCTCAATACTAAATCCATCTTCAGATTCAGTAGGGGAAACATGCTCAGAGGGGTCAGCAGGTTTAGGGGGCAGTAGGATTAGGGGGAGGGGGGACAGTAGTATCAAAAGGAGCATTTGGTTCAGTAGGGGCACTAGTGGATGGTGTATTAGATGCCTCTTCATATGTGCCCAAATCCTCACTTCCCCCAGGTCTTGACCAAATTCTAAAAGATAGGGGGGGGGGGGGACCACTACTGGTTCATCAACCATGTGCTCCACAAATACATCCAAGATATCCCCATTTTTTTAATACTTGACAAATAACCATAATGACCATATCCACTTTAATTTATACCAAACCAGGACAATCAGGTGGTCTTACATAAATATGAGAAGAAAAAGGATTATAGCCAAACGCTTTAACATAACCTAGAAATTCAAAGTAGGAGAACCTATCTACATCAATATCAAGTGCAGAAGTAATAACTCTACTTATATAATCCTCCTCCGTAAATGAGTTTAGTTTATACATGGAGATTTTTCCTCCAAGGAAGAATCTTACTATGACTACTTCAAAGATATTTTAAAACCAACGCAAAGTATATATATGACTATATCATACCAGTATCTACCAAATCGAACCATATGCAACAATATATTCAGCATTATTACTGTAGCAGTGACGAAGAAAACCCTAGGGCTCAAAACAACTTAAGGACGACGAACAACACTAACCTTTAAAAAGCATATTTTCTGTCCAAAATCCAAATAGAAGAAAGATTGTAGCGTCAACGTCTGGTAACAGTGACTGAACCCCTTTCCTTGCAACTCGTACAAATCCAACAACTCGTTAAAACCCTAAATATAAGACAAATATAATGACAAATTGTGGTTCTAACTAGGGTTAATCAAATAAACATTCATCTTCTCCCTTCAATTTTATTCGGGAAGAATAAATTTCAGACGGTTTGGGATTATGGATTTTTCGTGGACTTGGGAATTTTTTGTGGGGTGGGTGAAATGAACTAAAAAGGAAAATAGGTTGGGTAAATATTTTATTACAAAAGATGTTGTTTTTAAACGTAAAAATTGGTAAAAATAATTAATTATAGTCAAACTAATAATTCTCTCTTAAGTCTTCATTTAATTACATGGCATCTCCAGATGAAGCGTGTATGCTACACAACATAGAATTACTGGGAGATTGATGTGTGGATATAATTTCATAGTTTCGTACATTATGTGCCTTGCATTTACATGCTTTAATGATAAATTACACTTTATTTGCGCGTAATGGATTCTATTTTATTTATAGGTGAATTGGAGATGAAAGTAGAGCAAATGGGATACTTAAACGTTGAAAGTGTGCTCGAGAACAGTGAAAAGGAGAGGCCAAGCAAAAGCCAGCTCAACCACGCTTTAGCCTAGCGAGGCTAGCCAAAGGCCAGGCTGAACCAATCTTTAGCTTGGTGAGGCCAGCCAAAGGCCAAGCTGAGGCTGGCGTTAGGTTGGCGACGCCAGGTCTGGGGCCAGGTCCAGTCCGAGTTTTGAAGACTTAAATTGTTTCCCGGCTTGACTGGGATTTGACCTACACGTTTAAGTCTTTTCCTACACATATAAATAGATCTAAAACATCACTTTGAATAACTTTAGAGGGAATTGGACAGAGGAGGCCGACATTAGACTGGAGATTCGATCTAAGGAGGTAAGAACACACTAGGAGCAAGCCGGAGAATTCTTCTACGAGTTTTTCACTTTCTTCTCCCTACTTTTCCATTATTGGTTATGAACTCTAGTATTGTAGTTATGCATACTATTAATGAATAGCTAATTTGTTATCTAGGGTTTTGATGGAACCTATTGGAGGATGATTTTTCTGTTACGTTAATATAGTTTTGCCGTAGTATTTTCTCTATTTGTCCAACTACGTGTTTATTGTAGTTGGTTGAAGAGCTCTCAATCGACTGTGCCTATTTAGTGTGTATTACTCGGGAGAGAGTGCATATTTGTTGAATAACATCACTCCTAACGTATATGAGAGATCAATACGGAGGGTTTAAAGGTGGGATTAGGGATAACAAAATCTTGGTGCGATCCGAGTGAGCCGTACTTAATGTCAGCTAGCGTAATTCGGGAGAATATGTCTTGTAAATTGTGGCAATTACTCAGGAGAGAGTTACGACAGTCAGAGTGCTCATGATCGGTAGAGAAAACTTAGGCAAATTTATAGAAAACATAGCGGAAAGGATTCCGACAATAGGGAAAATCATAACTCTAGACCTCCTTAATCTTGTCTCCAATCCTTATCCTTGTTAATTGATAGTTTTACTGCTTTCTGGTATTTGTTAGTTAATTAGATAAAAAGAAACATTATAATCTTTATAATTAGGAAATTATTTGGACTTGTGTTTCATAGCGATATTGAACAACTGTAGCTAAGCCTTAGTTCTATGTGGGATTCGACTCCGAACTTGTAAACCAGATTATATTTGCAACGACTGCTTAGTCCTTTTTATAAGACAAAGATGTCTTACAAGGGTGCGGAAAAAATTAATCATAACAAGTATAGGGTGATATTGGAACACCCGTAAAGATTGAGTAAGAAACTCATTTATCGAGACAAGTTCAGGGTGCATCTTATATATTATCCCTAGAGAGATGAAGCATTTTAACCGAGTTGGAGCTCCAGGTATCAAGTTGAGAAAATGACCCTCTATAGCCCCTCAAAATTTTAATAACCCATGTTTTTCCCCATTGACACGAAATGTCCCTTCGGCCATACATATTACATTTAATAGCCCGAAATATCAATTTTGTATATTTGTTGTATAATGAGAGTCTATTTTGTATAGTGACAATCTATTTTGTATATATTTTGTATAGTGACAGTCTATTTTGTATATATTTTGTATCCCGAGCACTTTATCTATCCAACTTGTATAGACTGTTGTATGATGTATAAAAGTGTATATATATATTATTCTTTTACCTTAACCTTATCTATCCTACGTGTATAGACTATCTTGTATAAACATTTATAATTAAGAAGCTGCTAACATTTCTATTAAAATAAAAATTAAAGAACGGTAATGAACAAAAACAATAGGTCCACCTCACAAAAAGATTAAAGTAATTCTATTGAATCACAACTCACAAGACTCATGTTACTCTAATTAGTTTTTTATTTATTTAAATGTTTTGCTATTTTTTAGTTTCTATTAAAGAAGTATAAATTTCTTTATGCTAATTGTAAGTGTTAGTAAATTTAAGGAACTCATTATTCGTAATATGAAAATCTGGGTATCTCTCTGACGAATATTTAAAGGGTAGTTTTACAACTTTTAATTTTTATCCATAAAATAGGAGACTGATTCAAAATCCAACTTGACCTTAAAAAGCAAAATGTGACACTTATTCAAATTAGAGGAATATAAAGACGAAGCCTTTAGAAGAAAAAAGAAGAGAGAGAGAGAGAAATTAAAACTTGCCCATTTCACCATAAGTTGGTGCTTTTGGTTTTAGTTATATGAAATTTTCATTTCATTTCTCTATTTCTTTAGTTATTAAAAAAGAAGTGATATGGACTTTGAAATAGCTTTCAGATGTCTACTAAATCCTGCGAATCAGTAGAGTTAAATAAGAAAATTGATTTATTTTTAAAAATTTAACAATTTATGATAGAGAAATAAGGACGAGTAGTAGATTAGAATAGATTAAAAACTTCACTTAGCAATTTGAAGAGTTGATCAAACGGGTTAGTGCATTTTTTGGTGGGTAGCCAATGTAATACGTTTTTGGCTATGATTTGCAATCAAATTTAATAGGCTAGCGATTGTCTTAATTTAGTGCTGAATGGCAAGTTTGCTCTATCAAGTTATATCAGGTGGAACCCCCCTCCCCTTTCGCCTTCCCCCTC